TATACCCTAGAAAGGAAGTCCCTGGTGCCCCGACATACCTCGGGTCATCTACAGACGAGTAGACGACCCCCGCCCCGTGTGGGAACCCCATGTTCCCTGTGCTCCCTGGGAGCGAGCGCGCTTCGCAACGCGCTCGCCGCCACCCCGGCCTGCTTCTGCTAGGGTGACAGATGGCCTCACCTGTCACCCCCAGGCCTGCGCTTATGGAGGACGGAGGTCGTTCTGCGACCTCCGGCGCCTGAGTCGCCTGCGCTGCCTGGCCCGTGCCCGGGCCTGGCGGGTCGGGAGAGTTCTAAACCTCTCCCGGTCCCGCTCCGCCGTCTCCTTCGCGTGCATAACTTGCTCGCAGAAGGAGACGGCAGAGTTCCACGCACTCTCGCTCCGCACGATAGCCGCAATCAGGCTATCGAGCGAGAGAACTCCCACTCCGATGACCGCCACGAGGTCTCGCCTCTGCTCAACTCACGCCGGGCACTCTGCCAGCGTGTGGAGAGCCGTGTCCACGGTCTGGCCATCGCAGTGGTGGCACTCAGGCGTTGGCTCCTTGCGGATCAGACACAGGTGATCTCCGAAACATCCCTTCCCAGTGATCACCTGCGTCAATCGGTATGAGAGGGTCCCGTGACGCCTCTCGAGCCAATCCTCCATAACGGGTCTTACCGCACAGCGCACTAAACCTACAGCGATCTATTTATTTACTAGCTTACCCACCCAAGTTCGTCTGAGTCATTGATGCTTGGTTCATATTGGTCAATGCGTGATGTTAAATAGCCTTCCTCAATAAATGGGCTACCCAATACTAAAACATTTTTTTGCCTTAGCTTTATACTATTAACATAGATTATACAATGGCCGCAGAACCGACAACCATAGGGGAAAACGAGTTCTTGAGTGGAGAACGCGTTTCGACAAACGTAGTGTAGGACGCCCACAGGCTAGGTGGAAGGACGATTTGCGCAAGATGGCTGGCAGGAGCTGGCAGGAACAAAATCGATCTAAGTGGCGTGCAATGGGAGCAGCCTATGTCCAGCAGTGGACTGCGATGGGCTGATGATGATGATACAATGGCTATACATATACATAATTTAAAGGAATAAAGGTTGTGTGTAGCGGGGAATTTTACAAACATAAATGAATAACATCCAGACTCAGACCAGCAATTTGTGGGTCACACAAAGCATTATCCCATATGGGGATCAAACACACAACACTACGAAATGAAATAAACACTACGCCCTCTCCCTATGTCCTCTCCCGGGACTCGAACTATCTCTATACCAAATTGTGTCTAAATCGGTTCAGCCAATCAAGCGTGAAAAGGTAACAGACAGACAGACAGACAGACACATTTTCACATTTATAATATTATATAGTACTCGTATAGATAATAGGAGATCCTCAATTGGACTGTTTTTCTTTGTATATCTTTGGCAATTAAAAATAATAGCCACTCACACATCTCACAGCTGTCTGATTCTAAACAAGGTAGAGCCTATACTATGGTAATCAGACTGCTGATAAACATACTTATATATTCCTAAATACATACATATTATAAATAAATTACACCCAGACAAAGAACAAATGACCGCGCTCATCACACAAATATTTGTCCTGGGTGGGAATGGAACCCAAGACCTCCGACTTAGCAGTTAGATTCTGTATTTTTTTTAATAATTTTGTTTAAAGATAATTATTAAAGTCTCAGTGACTTGAAAGAGTAACATTGTACTTGTTTGTATACTTATTCAAAAAGGAAATCATTGTACAACCTTAACTTAGAAGGTACTATAGTGTTAAGGACACAGATTTCACAACTTTTTATTGCTAGGAACGCGCAGCTCTTGTTAAAATAACGTTAACTTAATGTACGACTTTTAGTAACAAATAAATTAACATTATATTTAACTATTTAGTTAGTAAATTATTTGAATCGTCGTGATTCTAAGAAATTGTGAGCCATGCATTTATCAAACTTAAAACATTCCAGCATTTTCCTATAAATTATAACTAAGGTTGAGCTAGCCAGCCAGATGGACACCGGTGCATTTATTATGTTTCATAGTAGATCCTTCAGAAATAGGCTGGCAATTAATACGCCTCTGCCTACGATTTCTTGATAGACTATCATTACACCAATTATTAGAGCATATTTAGTGTTGTTACATATCTTCGCACAGCCTCCCAGGGTGAGATGGGTGGGGTGAGAGGGGGGCGTGGTATATAGTGAAGATGCGTCGGCGCAGCGGCAACACCACAGCGACGCGTGGGCACCACACGTGTCGACAGGTTCGCCACACAGTTTGTGAAGTTCTTTTTGTAAAGTTCATTTTTTTTGTGCTTGGATACTGTGACTTAGCGGGTGAGTAGGAGTGAACGCATATATTTTTGACTAAAAGTATTTTTAATCCAGTGTAAATAATATGGTTTATTACGGATTTATAATTACTTTTAAATGTTGTTACTGATTGTATTTCCTTTTTTATATTAATAATACAAATTGCTACCATAGCTAGTATTTTATATAAGCCTGAGAGAATAGTTATGTAGGCAGTACTACAGACGAGTAAAACTAGTACTTTAGTTTGGCTATATTATGCCCACATGAGATTTAAACTATACACTAAATACTGGCTTATATTAACAGTAAAAATAAGAGGTCGAATCCTAAGTTACATTTCTAACAAACATTGCTATTTTTATTTTGAACTGTGTTATTTTAGTTTCATGCTACGAGATTTATTTATATTTTCCTCAATGAAACAGTAAATTTAATCCTTAAATTATTTCATTACTACTTCTTTACAATGTAACAGATAATTCTGTAATTATAATTTGTGAGTTAATAACTCAAAACTCGTGATCTTCGCAAAACAAACAATGTTTAAGTAAAACCGCAAATTACTTCGAAATAATTTATTTTGCTATCTTCTTATTATATAAATAAGATTTAATCTCTGTACATTTTAGTTTTTAGAATGCTTTACAAGACTGTGTTTTCAGTTTGAGGAAAATTTTGAGGTATATGTTTATAATCATATTTTGTACTTATTTCGAAAACGTTGACAACAAATACTCCTCTCTTCGGTATGAAACACTCTAGAAGTATCTTAAATATTTCGTCAATTTTAGAACTATGTTTATACTAGCTGTTTCAATAGACGTTCATTTTCCCAGTATTTCTCATTTTCCGGGCTACAAATATCTACTTTAGACTATAATATATAACTGAAAATAGTCAAATCGAATCAGACATTTTCGAATTTGGCTCTTTATATAAACATACAAATATTTATAGAGATTACAATAAACCAAAAATACGAACGAAAGACCATCAAAGCTAAAGTTGGAGTAATGTTTCCTACAATATAAAATCTCTCAACTCAAGTAAAGTCTATTAGGTTATAACTATAAAACCGAAAAAATGAATTGTGTCACACAATATAGGCAACAGGTTAAGGTGCAAAATGCCAACTTCAGTGGATACAAACAATTAAATATATACTATATCACATCAACAGCCTTCAATAGTCCACTGCTGGCCATAGGCCTCTCTTTAGAAAAGAGGTTTTGGCCTACTATAGCACGCTGGCCAGACGGATTGGTATAGGGTTTGTTTCAAGTTTTCCTTCTCTTCGCAGTGCTGTTGTCCTTGGTAGTTAGTTCCCTTAGTCGGCTCTTACGACACCCACGGGATAAATAGGGGTGGTGATACTCCGTATTCTTAATCCGTCACCACACGGACATATATATATAAAAGATTAATAACTAAAGTTCAACTAGCTTCTATAGCAGATAATTTTAGTCTCTTTCTGCGATTGATTGAAAAAAAATTGATTCCGCCAACATTTTCAGACAACTCTTCCATTTTTCTTTAATATTGCCACGATTCATATAATTGTTAAAGGACCCAGAGTAGTTATGTATAATATCTATAACCATATCTATATATTACAGAAGTAATGTTATTGTAATATACACAAAAATATATATTAAATTTCGGACCTTTTTAAATTTCTTATTGTAGAAGAACGTAGAACGATTGTTTTTTAATAATTATATATTATGTATGAATATATAAAAGATATGATAATGACTACAAAAAGCTACATTTTTAACATATATACATATTTTAGGCCGTCACGGTAAGAAAGGTATTTTATGCTGACAGCTCAAGATATACTGGTCGATAACTTCCTTTGACGAACCTTTTTTTATTTTAAAAGTGTAAGGTAAGAGTACATATCAGGATTCTCAAACGTTCAATAATGCTTAGTTCTAAGTTTATTATTTATGTGTGTATGTCTGTATATTTTATATTCAATATGTACTCGTATACTCTTCTATAGTGCATTTAAATGAAGTGTATGTATACCTGGGGAATCTATGTAGAATTATATGTATGAAGTGTATGTAAACCTAGGGATTTTATTACTTTTTTAATAGGTAAACATTGAGTCATTTAACTCGTTAGTTTCAATAACATACACCTGCCACACACAGCTCTTCATCATCATCATCAACAGCCTATTCTAGTCCACTGCTGGACATAGGCCTCTCCTTAGAAAGGAGGTTTTGGCCTACTATACCACGCTGGCCAAACGGATTGGTATAGGGTTTGTGTCAAGTTTTCCTTCTCTTTGTTGTTGTCCTGCGTAGTTTTCTCCCTTGGCCGGCTCTTACGACACCCACAGGATGAATAGGCGTGGTGACACTCTGTATTCTTAATTCACCCAAAGGGTGCAATGTATCTGCAGAAATATTAATATATTAATAAATAAAATGGTAATGGTCAAATTGGTCAGTACATGGGCTATTTCTAGTTGCGTAGCTATCTTATCGTAAGACAGACGTACGGGAATGCAATCGCAGGCACTTCGATCAAACATGACTTTCGATTCCCGTACCCCAGCTCCAGGTAAAATAAAAGAGTATTAATTAATTTCTTTGTCTTTGTTACAGAAAGAAGAGCGTAGTTCACCAAGATGGTCCAGTTCAAGATGGTGGTAAGTACTAGTGATAATTTTAAGATCATATTTGTATACTTTTTGAGGTACTCGAGAGAGCAATAATAAGTGTAAAAATCTTGTAAGATATTAAAACACACTTATTATTTATGGACCTTTTACCGGAAAAATAAAATTTTACATGCTATCCTACATAACAGCTAAATCATTTGTCAATCGACATATAATAGGTTTATTGATTGATTGATGGCAGTTTATTGATGCCCTTCTTGTAAAAATCAGCTGGACGGGAGGCAACAAACTCTTCAAATGCATTTTGTACTGCCTCTCGGGAATTGGATTTTGTACCCACTAAAAAGTTGTCTAAATTTTGGAAAAAGTAGTAGTCGGTAGGTGCAAGGTCTGGTGAGTAAGGCGGATGAGGGAGAGCTACCAACCCCAGCTCTTGCAGCTTGGAGACTGCCAATGCGTTGGCAAAGATGCGTCGATTGCATGGGTGATTACTTCGAATAACAGAAATTAAAAAAGTTTGAAAAAATAAGTACTTTCACTTATTGCATACGAAACGGCAATTTCATAGGCAAAGACCTATTATTAAAATTGATCAACCGTACAAAAAAGGTATCGTTGACTTCAAATACAATGCAATTATTTTATCAATCATCCCTTAATATTTTACCCAACCATATTGAGTAACTATCAGCATTATTGAATTTTAAAAATCATTTAAAAAACTAAAATCTCTGTTCTAAAGTCGTTTACAGAAATAAAACGATTGTGAACATTTCCTCATTATTCACGTAATAAAAAATAAACTTTATAATTTAACTATTACAAGTGTAATGCATAAAATAATAATGAAAATTAATCTACAAAATGAACAATGTCCGTTACGTCACGTGGGTGGTGCAATCATTTAGCTTTACCTACTTTTATATCATGTGTACAGTTCATTAACATATTTTTTTATTATGCCTCCGATGTTGGCCTCCTTTTAAATCTCCGTGTTGCCAAGCAAAATTTAATGCTGGATTAGATGTTTAAATGGTAGGACAGATTTTAATAAGACGCAAAGCAAGGGCATGCAGAAATTTTACTTTTAATATTCATATCATCGAAATAAGTTCACTTTTAGTGGTGGAAGAACTTAAGGTGCAATCAATTCATTAAAGAACGAACGACACGTTGTGGTGGTAGGGCATTCGGCACTCGGGGGGGGGTCGTCTACTCGTCTGTAGATGACCCGAGGTATGTCGGGGCACCAGGGACTTCCTTTCTAGAGTAGGAAATTATTAACTCTTAGCATCGTCGTGTAGGCGCCTTTTAATAAGTTTTTTTTTATAAATTTTACTTACACAACTTTTTAAGGAAGTATAAATACTTTTTAAAAGAATTGTGATATAAATATTTTTTTAATTATTGATTCTTTCTCGGACTGTTAACGCATTGAACATTTTTTTTGAGTTGCGTCACCAAAGAATGAATTGCCTACCTTGCACCTACTATTCCAGACAATTATAATCCTGCAACTCTTTACTCTGAAGAGAATTTTCTTGGATAGGCGTATACTATTCACATATTAATTATAACTTTTCCGTTTATAAGTTGATCCCAGACGACGGCTTATTCCATTTATCAATAGAAAATAATTCCAGTTCCAGTCCAGTAGGTAATCTTAAGTCATTCTATGAACTAAATAAACATGTGAGAATCGGACCTATGATCTCTGTCTCGGGATCGCTAACCACTACAGTATTACGCCAAAAGACTTATAACAGAATCTATGTAATAATAATAATAATATTGTACCACATTCACACAACGCCATCTAGTCCCAAACTAAGCAGAGCTTGTACTATGGGTACTAGGCAACTGATATAAATACATATATACTTTTTTTTTTTGTAAATACATACTTATTATACATAGAAACACCCAGACCAAATCAAACATTAAATGTTCATGCACACAAATGGCCGCGGGAGTTGAACCCGCGACCTTTGGAATAGCAGTCCGTTACACAAACCACTACGCCATTCGGTTGTCAATGATTCCCTCCTTCTTCAGAGTAGGTGTACTTCCTAAAGTACACCTACTCTGACTAACTTATCTGAATAACTTTTCCCCGTTTTTCATTGATCGGCATTAAACGTAGCGTGATGTAATTTATTATCGCCTTCTTTGCAAAATGGGGAATCTAACACTACAAGTTTTTTTTTTTCAATTTGACCCAGTAGCTTTATAATATTAGTATAGATATAAATAAAACTCTCACCTAACTGTTGAGTTTAACTTCCATGTTGTAAAAATTCAAATGGTGCTATATACGGGCTTTAAACACACTTTCAGTTTCGATGTACTAAGGAAATTGGTTTATTAATTATATTATTTGCATAAACCGAATACCTAGATTTGTGGGTACGATCCTCGACCTGAAACGTCTTTGTGTTTACTAGTAATACTTCAACCGAAACGTCAAGTAATTAGAAGACAAGATTTATTTTAAAACTGGCAAGCAATCTAACTCATAAACATCTCCTAAAGGTAAACGATTACTCTATTCGTAAATGGACCATGTTAAGTAATAAAACATAATAATAAGAATAGTACAGTGCAAAATTACAGTAAGCCAGTAATACAAATGTTATTAAATTAATCAAATTATATCCATATTCGGTAAGGTTCTACATCCGCTGGGGCGAAACTGCACAAACTGTCAGCCGCATTATGTCATCATCGTTTGTACAAACCGCACCACGCCATTGCAAGTCCAGGGCTGTTTAAAATATATTCTAAAAGTATATTGAGCTCACTTTTGCGAAAAAAAATATGACATTCTTTCTGAATCAAAGATATTCATTTATTCACTTATATTGATAATTAATTAAGTGAATAAATTATTCATTTATTTACTATAATTAATTAACATTTATTCATTGGATAATTTATTTTTTGTGCAGATAAAATACATCAAAAATGTTTGTCTCTTTAATGATGACGACGATATTGTTTATATGTTATGGTTAATTAAATTACGTGATCGATAAAACGTAAAGTTAATTTTCAGAGAAATCACACCCAAATGCAAAATGACCGATGACTGGTAGTACTTTGCCATCTTAGGGTTTATAAAATATGATTCTCTGTAATGTATAAAACGTTAGTGACATTGTCGGAGTGACAGCCCTGTAGAAAATTACGCTAAATGTTTATTGGCACCTAAATCTGCTTAAATTTAAACCGACTGTGAGCTTATTTGCCAAGAAAATAAATAAACCCAATAATAACCTCTAAAGTAGATCCAAATCTAGCTAGTTCAACCCTATGAAAACCGCATTACATTGCGCCACAGCGCTCGACGACACGAGGCACGCCGCTTCCAACCATTCATCTTTGTTGTTTAGTCACGATGCTCAGGCACATATTTTCTCGTTTTATTATAAAACTTACAAAAGTTTAATTTCTTTTGATCTGATTGCTTTTTGTTGAAATAAAATATTATAATTAACTGGGAAGTAATTTACAGTGGACTAATTAATGATGAAAAGGGTAAATTTCGTACAAAAGTTTAATTTCAAGCTAAGGAAGGACGAATATTTATAATTATTTCTGCAATACGGTTGTCGAACACCCACCGTTGATAAGTATAATATTAGCAAAACTAAACAGTGCCAACTAGCCTCCTTTCTTTTTCTATGTCCAGCTGTGGACTATTAAAGGTTTTTAACGAAACAGTATCAATTGAGACAAGAAAATATTTTAAAAAGGCATTTCCAAACCCCTTTCCGCAAAGATCTCTTAAATAAAAAAAAAAGAATCATCAAAATCGGTTCACCTAGTCAAAAGTTCTGATGTAACAAACATAAAAAAATAAAAATACAGTCGAATTGAGAACCTCCTCCTTTTTTTGAAGTCGGTTAAAAAGCTATGTTGTCCCGTTGAACACAGAAGGCTTTTTATTTTGTGTATCAGTAATTTTGATAAGGGGAAGCCTGCAGCCGTCAGCCGGGTAATTTAGGAATTAAATGGAAGAAAATTAGGAGTTCAATATGAAAGGAAAAGAAAGTGAGATGGGAAGGCAATTTGTAGGAAGAGTATATTGATTATACTACTAAATTAGGGATTATAATTAATATCTCGAGTAGGTCAGGTTTCCTCAATTTAAAATTAATTCATCAACAAACATGAGACAGAATATTTTCCACATCCATCATACTAGCATTCCCACCCTTGCCATTTTATGTCACTAGGCAATAAGTTCATGTAATCATCAATATTTGCCTCTTGTATTGCAAAAGATTTGCATAGTTTATGCAAACTATACTGCCTGCGAAAGATTTTACATAATACAAAACACAAACAGACGGTAATCACATAAAGTCACATGATAATAAATATTCACAAATAACCGAAAAGTATGATTTTGCTTAGAAGAATATTAATATTTAGAATTGTCGATGCGTGTTGAACATAAAAGTGACGTAAGCGTCCAGCGCGCGCGCCGTAGAAAGTGTCAATAAGGTGAAGGTCACGACTCTTCCGCGCGTTACGTCACTAGGGCTGCCAGTAGATTAGATGAATATTTTGGCTAGCAATGTAAATCTTACTGAAACGTGAAAAACATCGCTTGCAAAAATGTAAATATGAATTAATTAGCATAACTTATGAGTTAAAGTTAATTATTTTAATTTTGAGAAGCTTAGAGCAGATTCTATCAATTATTAACCTAAATTTAAATAAGTTACCTTTAAAAAATTTCAGAACGTTATCTTTATTCGTTTTAAAACTGAATTAATAACATTTTCAAGAATATTGATTTAATTACTTAGTTTAATAATCATACATCATGTTCAGAAACCGACTACCATACTGATTTTTATTTTGCATCCTAAATAAATATGAACCAGAAAAATACTATAAAAATATGTATATTAATTTACTCAGAACACACTTTCGAAAGTATGTCACTATATTCACTCACTACGAGTTAGCAATTAGGTTCAAATATATATTTTTGTGTCAGACATAATGCTTTTGAT